CTATGCCTTACTGTCCTTTTGCTATCCTTTCATTGCGCTTTTGCTATCTTTTTACTGTGCTTTCACTTTTGCTTTTCAATTATTTTGACCATCATATTAAATTTAATTTTTAAAACTAGATTGCATAGTTTGAAATTATCCATCATAATCATATTTTAGTAGTTCATATCATGTAACTATAAGTGTTTTCACTATGAATTAAATTTGTAAGGAAAATTTTCTAGAAATTTATAATAAGTAATTCACTACGTTTTTATTGTGCTTTCACTTTTGCAATCCTTTTCAATTGTTTTATAGAAAATGATAATGCAGTATGTAATTCATTGACCTTCACTATGCTTTTGATGTACTTTCACTATGCTTTTGATGCGCCTTCACTACACTTTTGATGCACTTTTCATTGTTTTCGACTATGTCAAGTTTAATTTTCAATTCCGGATTACATAGTTTGGAAATTTTTTATGGCAATTAAATTCTTTTAGTTCATATCATGTTACTAAAGTGTTTTTCCTATGAAATAAATTTATAAGAAAAAATTTCTCAAAAAAAAAACACAATATAATATAAGTCATTGTGATTTCACTACACTATTATTACACTTTTTTTGTGCTTTCACTACGCTTTTGCTGCATTAAAAAAAGAACGCAGTATTGAAAATTCCATGGATACATTGGATATTTCATTTTGTTATATTGGTCTTAAGGGATATTTTCGCATCCTCAAATATATTTTTAATATGAACAAAATAAAGAATAAATATTAGTTCATTATCCAAGTTGAGAAAATAAGTAACAAAAGTTTAAGAGAACTTCAAAATATAGTGAATATAAAGAAAATGCACAGCGAAAGAAAACTTAAAGCACAATAAAAACAATGCTAAAATGAATAAAATAACTCAAAAATTTTAAAGCAAACAAAACAACCTAGTTTTTAAAATAGAAGAACTCGGTATGGTATCGATACCTATGCATATGCAACAAAAGCGCATAAACAAACACATCAAATTCTTGCACTTGTTTGTAAGTGGTGAAGAAATTTTGCAGCGGCCGAAATGTCGAAGGAATGCAGTGAAGCAATCTAGAATGCTAACGAGAGAGAAAGTGAGCAGTGAAATGTCATGATGAAAAGTAAAATGACCTAGCTAGCTTCAAGCTTTTGAACTCCTGCAAATTCAAAATTTTCATCTTTGGGACGGGTCTGGTTGGTCCGGCTGACAAGACATAAATTAAAAATAAAAGCCAATTGAATATCCACGTATCCAATACACGTGTCAAAATTTTAATTGGAGTCTGGATGGAGAGCTACGTCCGGACTTTGCACAGAATAATTTCTCTTTTAAAATAGCTTTCTAGTATAAAATTTTTAATTTTTATACTAAAAAGCTGCCTTAAGAAACAATAAGAAAGTCATCCCAAATGAAGTCTTAGTCGATCGTGTCGGCATGCCCAATTTTTATAGAACCACTATTGTTGTGTGACTTTATGGTGGTTGTAAAGCCACTTTCAATTATATAATAGAGGTGATGACCACCTAATCAACAACTTCCTTTTTAATTCATAGCTTCTTAATTAGAGGTCAATATTCAAGGCGTCTAAGCCCCCCCACCCTCACTCTATTCCAATCAATTGCAATGTTTAACAACACTAATTGATTTTATTGTATGAGGCTTCTCTTGAAGCCATGATCATGATGCTAAACCTCTTATTTCAACAACTTTCTATATTAGAGATGTCAAAATAAAAAAGAAAGTTCATATTAATCAAAAATTGATCATTATATATGAATTTAATCTATTTACTTCTATTAAAATATAGAAGTTATATTTTACACAAACTCTATATATTTTTTGTTTTTCCTCTAATTTTATTTTAAATTTATTTTTTAATGTATTTTCTACCTATTTATTTTTTTTTAAATATATTTATAAAATGAAAGTTATGATCACAAGAGGCAAATAAAACTAGTAGGCAATCTTTCAAGCAAAGTCAGAGAAAGAAAGACAAGAACAAAACTGTTACACTATTTGCCAATTGCTACTTTTTTATCCTCGTGATCTCAATCAAGAACATTTAAGCTTCAATCCTTGTATTGTCATATCTTCTTATGTATTTGTGTTTTATTTGGTATATTGTTTATATTTTTATGTTGCTTTATCCTATTTATTGTTGGGTAGGAATTTTTTGGCCCCCTTGTTGGTGGATTTGGCCTTGCTGTGATGCTTTTCTTTCTCTCTGGTTGATTTTTTATACCCAACCATGTCTCCTTTTATTTTTCTTGGGTTATTTTTCTGTATTCTTTGTTTTTGCATATTTGGTGAAGCTTCTTGTCCTCTCTCCCTTTCTGGCATGTAATTTCAGTTATATTTCCTTTTTTACACGAAGGGGACAATGCTCCCCAGAACAAATTTTGATTGTAAGGATATTTTTGGAATTCAAATTAATAAATAAAATGATGAATTCCTTTTATTATTCGCTGGGGGAAATTATGCCTAAAGACAATAGTATTTTAAAACTTTTAGGGGGGGGGGGGGGGGGAGGGGGTGAATTGCCTAAGAACTTATAATTAAAAGATTAAAAATAGATGGAATAGACAAATTACCTATAAATCTATATAAAGATTATTTTTTTTCTTTCCGGCGGGGGAACCAATCAGGGTATCAAATGGATGCTCCGGGGCCTGAGACTGGGATGCCAACGACTTCGAGAGCCCACCAACCGGCAGGTGACTACCTCATGTCCAAGCGATCCTGACTCGGCACGATACGGTGTGAATACTCTGAGTCGGGGTCAGAATTTCCCCCTCCAACGCTAAGGAGGGTTAATATATTTAGGTATATATCCATCAACTGCGATCCTACTTTGCCAAAATAAGAAAAAAATTACATATGGGAATATGCAAATCTATGATATTCTTTTTGGTATATTTCACCAACCGGCAACCTTAGTTTGACGAAATAAGAAAAAAAAACTTACAAGACCAATAGAGGTTGCGCCTGTCGTTCCCAATCCAACCTGCACCTACGAATCTGTGATCTTCTTTTCTGGTCTTGCGAAAACTAGGAAGCTCAAGAAGTTGGTGGAGATTCCTTATTTCTTGAAGTAGGTAAAACCATAAAAGTTCCCAAGCCCTTTTAATATTCTTTATTTTTTTGGCATCTTTTTTATTTATCGTACTTTCTTTTTGCCAATTAAGTGTATATTTTAATATGAAGTTATGTTAAATGTATGGTTGAAGAAAATGATTATTAATGAAAGTGACTTAGATTAGTATATACAATCCAACATATTATTACTTAACATTAATTTTGTCAGCTGTTACTGCTATAATGAAAAGAGCATTTTTTGCAAAGTGGATTTTCAAACAATGATTGCATAAAAGGTTGGGGGATGATTGACTCAACAATTATATAGTATCTTACATTAAAAAAGATGTGCTTGATTTTATTTGTAATGCAACATTATAAAAAAATACAAAACCAAAATATAAGCTTGTATTCATTTTTTAATTTATCAATCATAATCAAATACAAAATTTTGCATTGAATTATGCATTATTTATATTTATTTTTAATATTAATCAATTTATATGAAAAATTTGCCCACCCTAAAATGAGAGACTGGTTCCGCCCCTTCCACCCTTGCCAATAACATCAATATTTGTAGCAGCCAACATCAACACTAGGGCCTATCGTCTCCAATAAGGTTAACCCCCCATTGTTGACATTTCATGTTATCTTAATGCTAGATTTTTTTTGTTATTAGAGATTCAATTATCCCTTGATAAGAACTTTTATGCCTTATGGCCTCTCTTAATTCTACCATGAAAATTATCTTTTACAATTCATGTCTACTACATTGTATAAATGACTTCTCCCATTGTAAGAAATGACATTCTTTGTAACCTACAATTCACCTTGGTAGAATCATTTTAATTGTGTCATACACCATTATTTTTCTCCTTTTTGGGCTTTCCATAATTTTTAAAAAAAAAATTCATGCCTCCTATGAGTTACTCACAACTTACATTATCTTTGTATGTGTGAGATTAATGCAAAGATGATAAATTATCTACATTCCCATGTATGTTCTAACACACCACAATACTATTATAAACTTTTCTTGTGATTTTCTTCAAATTAAACCTCCAACTTTAATTTTTTATAACAAATCATAATGGTGGATGTCTTCTCAATAACAAATTTATCCTAATCTCTTTCTTTGATTTTTAAACTTTCAAAATGAGTTTTTCTTTGAAAACACCTCGAAGATTACCATTTTTCCTCAACTCTCGATCCTTCTTTAGGAAGAATGCCCCTTGATATTTAGATTTCAAAATACTTTTACCATTTTCTTAAAGATTTTAATAGACCTTCATACAAAATCCACAATCCCATACTGAGCTAAACCTACTCACTTTAGTAATATCATGGGCTTGCATAATTTAAACCTTCAAATCTTAAATGAACATCACCCTATAACCAAAAAATAGGGCTATTGCAGCAAAATTTTTTACTTTTTTCAGCAGTTATAACCGCTACATTTTACTTTGCAGCGGTTCTAAAGCAGTTGCATCCCCGTTGTGATTGCAAGCCCTGCAACGACATTTCGTAGCAGTTTCAAGACCGATGGGAAAGGATGTGCTAGTTTTAGCAGCAGTTATAACCAATTAATTACTTATTAACTTCACACATTCTTGTTTGAAATATAGCATAAAACCAAGTCAAAATTGAGAGAAAAAAAAAAGCAAGAAAACTACGCCGAGTCATACTCAATCGGCCCAACCAACTAATTACCACGATCTAATAGAGTTTATTCGAAAGAGCTATAATAATAATTAAACAAAGATTTGTTCCTATTTGTTCAACATTCGACATAGTTGTATGTCCAAGATCGTTCCAAGGACGTTCAAAAAATTCTCTAACAGCACTAATGCATGATTCCAAGGACTTTCAAAATAAGTAAAAATAATAGACAGCAAACTATCAAATAGAAATCATAATATCAACAACAATATAAGAACTAAAATTCCATGATATAAAGGAGCAACAAGCTTAAAATCCATAATATGGGGAAGGTTTCCTCTAATAACTAGCAAGCATCCAAAGAAAATAATTCAAAAAAGGCTAAAGTTCACATTACAAGCAATAACAAAGTTTATAGAGATTCATCCAAACAACAGAGACAATCAAGACATAAATCTCATTCCATCAAAAAGAGTCTTTTTCAAAATAGAAGCATCTCCAGCAATCTAAAATATAAGATAAAACATGATTTATTAGATATATTGACATAACGTGAGAGATGAATGCAATCAACATGTAGGTATAATCATTACGTTGCACCAAGGAAAAACCTGTAGTAATCTAACTTTCTTAATTAAAATGATGATTTCAAAAGTTTCTCAATTCTATCTTACACATGTAAACTCAAACCTCAACTAATTTAATGGACATTTTGTACAATTGCTTCAATTTCTTTAAACTTTGGCTTTATTGAATTATCAGAATTAGGACAATTAGTGTAATCTTTCTACTCTTTGCCAATACTGATCAGAAAATATGTTTGTGACAAAGGCTTAGCTTCCAAATGTTGTTTTGGTTTTGATAGCATGTATATACCAAATCCTTTAGTGGAAACCACCAAAGTGGAAGTTAACTAGATTTAGCCATCAGGAAAGATTACATTTATGAATGGAAAAATTTACGCTGAGGCATAATGGCCTCATTTTCACAACCTATATGTTGCTCACATGGTAAGTAATGGCATACATATAGTAATACCTGAAGAAGTTCATCAGTACTAATAGCACAAGAACGAAGATACTCAATCTTCAATATGCGTATCTGAGCACCTGTACTACTATGGATGCCCTGAATAATCTGTGTGTTATGATCACAGTAAGCATTCATGAGCTTCTTAAGTTGTGTGCTACGTTTGATCCTGAAAATACCTCATTGCTATCCTGAAAGGAAAAACATAGCAAAGGAACAAAATATGCTGGGCGAGGCAAAAAAAAAGGAGAAACGATGGCCCTTCAGCAAAGCACCAATAATTAATGTTATTAAAATATTTTTGCATTAGGTTAAATGGCAACCTCATATTAAAAGCATACTAAAAAATGGTCCCCCATCTAATAAAAGCCACTCATGCTCACAATAACTCTACAATTGGTGACAAAATAGACTACTTACATCGCATCAGGTCACCTGATACCACGGTCAAGACTCAAAATAGGCATCACTTGGAAATAAAAGAAGTCAGTCAAGTACAAGGCATAAGTCGCCACTTTACCCTGCAGTAGGAGCAAATTTGTTGCCTACCTGAACATTATTTTTAAATTTAAAGTTAGAAATGTATTGAATCATGCCATATCATGTTGATACAACCATAAAATTTTCAATGAATAATAAGATGATCAAAGGCAGCTGATTACCTCCGCATATGTTTGTGACGGTCCCAATGTAAAAATCTTAGATGACTTTCTTTTGAGAGATCTTTATTTAAGAAATCAATTGCATTTGCAAATTCTGCTCTAAGGATAGATTCTCTTGGTTTATTCTCTTGTGTCTATTTAAGATAAAACAACCTAAAGTATAATAAAATAATAATATACCTAAACAAATAAAAAATCAAAAGAAAAACCAACAATTTATATGTGCAACTGTCGATATAATGTGTCCCACAAACAAAAAGAGATCACAAGCAAAGTGGCATACCTTAATTTAAGTTCAATACAATGATTAGGTTTCCGTATCTCTTAACAAGATTTTCAAAATGAAGTCGGGTAGCTTCATAATGCTTGTCCTACTTCTGCACTGAGGAAAGGAAATATAAGGTCAAATTAAGAGAGGACCTTTTTCAATTTTTGCTTCAACATGCACAGGAATGTCTAACACTCACAAATAATATCAGGCTTCATGTTCATCTTTGATGTCTTCTGGGACCAAAAAAGGGGAATGGAACCCCTATTTTGTACTATAGAACTTATCTGCATAGGAGTTTCACCAGGAACATCTTAAAAAACAATATGCTCCGTCTCTACATCAGTTGTGACACTACCCTTATCATTAACGTCGTGGTTCAAATGCATTTTCCAATTAATCACATTTTAGCAAAAGTTCCTCCTAAGAGAGAATGTGCATTATTCTCGTGTCATAAATACAAGCCAATTGGCTTGTCCAATATCAATTTTGTGACATCAATTATCACAAATCTATATTGGACATGAAAGATAGACAATTGATTAGAACTTGATTCCAACATAATGTTGTGATCGCCTAGCAATGAGTGTCAACCTAAATTTTTTCGCATATATTGATAGCTTAGCCTGGAATCAAGAAATTTATTTCATCAGAACACTAGAAAGATATGGTGGGCATTGATATATCACTGAATCTCCGCCTAATTTCAAGCCTATAGTAAGAACTTAAAACAAAAATAGTGAATCTGTGACCATATTTCCATAAGATGATGTTTCTACAAACAATCATAAATTAAAAGCAATTCAAATAAAATATAAAGGAGAAACTTCATCATATTTCTAAAAATGGGTTGAGTAGTTTTCTTTCTCATTTTTCATGAAGGGTTGTGTCCCTTGGTGATTTTTTTTAATGTTTGTCTTTGTTTACTTATAAGAGAATGGTGCAGTGGTGAAGAGAGACAGAGAGAGCGAGAATATAGATCTGTACCATTTCTTCCCAATTTTCATTATGAATTTTTTAGTGTAGCATGGAACTGTGATTTTTTCCTCGATTTTGGGTTTTTCCACGTTAAATCCGGGTATACTTTCTTTTTGTTTCCATTTTCTCTTTTTTGTTTGTGATTTCTACATGGATTTACTTCCCCAACACTTATGTAGATATATGAGTTGTTTATGTTATCATTAGAAGCACCCTACGGAGTCACGAGAGCAAGGTCAAGCATCGCTTATAATGGTGCCTTTGAAAGTGATGCATGTTAAAGGGGGGCTCCTCAATGGTACCTTTATAACATGTCTATTCTGATGCCACAAACAACCACAACAAGATAGCATGCACCTTATGCACATAACCTTTTCACTAAGTTGCTTCACTTTTATTCCTTTGTGTTCCACAAATGATGTGAAGTATGTACAACAAGTGGAAAATAATTGACGAATAGCAGTTATTTGAGATATTGGTGTCAAGCATTAGAAGTGTTCCTTTTAATAATAATAATTTGATCTTTCTTTCCACTTGAAATTCTAAAATTCACCTCCTTTGATATCACTCATAGAAGATCTTTAAACAAAAAATCACCATTATTTTCTCGAGAGTATTTGTAAGAAATTATAATTTCCTATGATGTAATTAACTATGGGGACTTGCACTCATAGGAGATTTAGAACCCACATTCACCTTTTTCTAAAATCAATTTTCAAAACTAAAAACTAATCTTCTTTGGAAAAATCAAGTCGATAACGATCATTATCATCATATTCCATCTATCGATAATAAGTGATATTTTCTGTCCTTGGAGAGATATATCATTTATTATTGTGACATTAAATATGAAATAAAAGATGTCCCATCCAAATTATAGTGGTTGAATATTGATAGAATCTCATTTTGACCCTTCGGGATTGTGTGCGATTCTTATTTAAATTCAACTACCATAATCAGGATGATAACTTTCTGTTCCATCACCTGAACATGTTAGCAAATTATATCATTGACTTAAGGGGCAATGCAATATATTATTTATAATGAGATGTTCAATCTTGAGACTATAAATTTTAAACTCAAAATTACCAAGTAAGATTAAATCTTTTCAAAACCTCTTTTTCAAAATTTCCATCAACATCGTCGTTCAACCTTCATTAGTTCTCTTCTTCCCAAAGATAAAATAGAAGAAATAAAAGAACTTCTATGTGAATTTAGGGACTACTTTGCCTGGATATATACTAAACAATTGACAAGTACTTTGCTTATTATTTATGAAACTTAAGAGTGCAGACTATGGAGTAGCAGACTATAATTATAAAATTGTGACATGAAAAGGAACACTTCTAATGCTAGATGCCAATTTCTCAAATAACTTCTATTCGTCAATTATTTTCCACTTGTGTTATATACTTCACATCATTTGTGGAACACAAAGGAATAAAAGTGAAGCAAGTTAGTGAAAAGGTTATGTGCATAAGGTGTTATCTTGTTGTGGTTGGTTGTGGCATTAGAATAGACATGCTACAAAGGTACCATCGAGGAGTCTGTGAAAGCCTTTTTTTTTTCCTTCCAGGATCGTCCGAACGAAGTGGGATCGTTCAGGATGATCAGTTCAAAATCTGAGGACAAAGAAGGTTCATCCCAGGACGAAGTCAGGTTCGTTCGTACGAAATTTCTCCAGAGAGCAACTCGTCCTGAGACGATAATAATTTTGTCTGAACGAATTTTGTACAGAGGAGAAATTGTCCCGGGACGAATAGGAATCGTCCCGTACGATCCAAAGTTGTATATATCCAAATGGTCATTTTGAAGAGAGAAATATCTGAGGAGAGAGAAAATCGAAGGAAAAAGGAAGAAAAGTGAATTTGGGCGACTTTGGTCTGTTTTCTTCCGTCGCCGTAGTTGAAAAAGTTGATCGACTCGAGGTAAGGCACATTCCGCCATTCTCAATTTTTAGAAATGTGGATTTTGATGATTTTTCTATTCTGAATTTTATGTCGGTTAGTGAATATCTGGTTTCATTTCGTACTGATAAATATTTTACCGCATAACTTTTGGTATGTTTCTGAGATGATGTTTTTGCACGTTTTAAGTATTTTCTGGAAGATTTTCATCAGGTATTTTGAATTCTGTGGAGTTTTAATTGAATAGTGAATTATCTGGATATTGAAAATATTTGTTTCACTACAATGAAAGTCTTGAAATTATGTTTTGCACTATCTGTGATAATTTGGTAAATTTCTGAAATTGTGAATTCTTGTGGAATTTTTGTATACTGCCGTTATGCCGCTGACGATTTTTCTGATGAAATAATGTTTTCTGAATTTGATGATTTGAAGTATTTGTATGATATCAGAAGGGAGTTATAAGGGACTGGAATCCTTTAAGATTCTGTCTATGTCAGGGAAATCTGAAAAGGCTGATCTGATCTAAAATTTTGTATATCTGATAAGTGCTGGTGCTGTAAGCACAAGGGAGGCATAAGTGGCCAGAATCCTTTGAGATTCTGTCTATGTCAAGGTAAGCCCAACCACAAAAACATCTATCCAAGCTACAATCTCAGTCATTTGATTTGTTTATTGGATAAACCAGAGGACATAAAATACCAACAGTGTAATTGCAAGCTTGGTTTAAATAAATGTCTTTAATTCATCACATCATAAAATACTTTACGAAGATGGTGCATATGAGCTAGTGACCACATAGAGACAATTTCTTGTAATGACGACAAAACTGGTAATGATGATAATCATTGAGATATTTTTTTATTACAAACAAATCGCTAGGAGAAGGCTATGCCATTCTTTGGGTCGTTTGAAGATTGCATATGAAAACTTTAGAAGGGTTGACAATGACTATTCTCCTTAACAAGTCAAGTGATACAAAGGAGTTTCAATCCAAGAGTCCCTTTCAAATGAATCAATACCAATTTGGCGCTATGCGATATACATACCCAACAACATCATCATTTTTCTCCATAGGTTTCAAGTTCAGTTGAGTGTAAGAAAACCATGGGGTATAAATTTCTTAAGATGAAATATCCAAGGGGAAACTTGCATCGCATCTTTAACAAGCATTAGTATAAACACCTTGTGCACATGAATTTTTTTTGCATGGAGAATAACGTGAGTTCTCATAATTTTCACAACCTACACAGGACTTTTAGAATCACCCAAAATAAATATTGATGCTCAAAACATATAATCTTTCATATAACACTATGTGCGAGGCATTCCCAATATAATGAAAACAAAAGTAGAAGGTAACAAATACATAAAAGAAATGTCAAATGTCATTGGAATCCCTCCAACTAAACAACTCATATTCACCAAAGTATTTGC